TGTGTGTGTGTGTGTGTGTGTGTTAGGGATTATACTCAAGGTGTTGCTTTTGCTAGGTAAAATGCTCTACCACTTGTGTGTGTGTGTGTGTTAGGGATTATACTCAAGGCGTTGCTTTTGCTAGGTAAAATGCTCTACCACTTGAGCCATGCTCTTGCCCTTTTTCAAACAGGGTTGCACATTTATGCCTAGGCTGGTTTAAGCTACAATCCTATTCTTCCTGAATAATTGTAATGACAGGAGGATACCACCAAACCCAGATTTTTATTGGTTAAGGTGGGTCTCAGAAACGTTTTACCTGAGGGGCTTCAGGCTGGTCTTCCCAATCTCAGCCAACCAAGTAGCTAGAATTACAGGCATGAGCTACCATGCCCTGCTTCTTCATTTTAAGATCATTGAAGTTTGCATTTTTTTTTTTTTTTTGTCGGTTGTGGGGCTTGAACTCTGGGCCTGAGCACTCTCCCTCAGTTCTTCAGCTCAAGGCGAGTGCTCTACCACTTGAGCTACAGCGCCACTTCCGGTTTTCTGGTGGTTTATTGGAGATAGGAGTCTCACGGTCTTTCCTGCCCGGGCTGGCTTTGAACCGCGATCCTCAGATCTCAGCCTCCTGAGTAGTTAGGATTACAGGCGTGAGCCACCAGCGCCCGGCTCATTGAAGTTTGCATTCTGAATACTAGTGTACCTTCATATTCAAAAAATCTTTATGTAAGATCAGATGCAAATAATTCAGTCCTAAACTGGGGTCTCTAATGATCTGAAGCAGTATTGGTTCTCTAGGGGTCACAAAAGACTTGATCTATAGTTTTTGCCAAGTTCCAAGCTGTGTATATTCTCACCATGGCTATCTGTGCTAGCAGTCATAAACACAAAATTGAAAAGACATGTGCACAGTCAGCACTAGCCCACCACTTCTAAGTCTTCAAAAAGTAGATATATGTGGGAAGAGGTGGCACAGAAATCTTTGTGTGGCACTGGTGACTCACATCTATAATCCTAGGTATTCAGAGGCTGAAATCTGAAGACGGTGGTTCAAAGCCAGCCCTGGTAGGAAAGTCTATGAGACTCTTATCTCCAATTAATCACCAAGCTGCCACTTCAAGCCATAGCTTGAAGTGGTAGCATACTAGCATTATATGAAAAAGCTCAGGGACAACACCCAGACCCTGAGTTCAAGCCTCACAACTGACAAAACAAAAAAAAAACAAAAAAAACACACACACACACACACAAAAACCCAAACCAAACCAAAACAAAACAAAACTTGTGTGGAACACTTACATGAGATGGGATGTTCAGGCCACACTGACACACGACCACACCGTTTACTATGCTCACATTGTACCTAGAAGCAGATTTAAGATCCCAGTTTGTTGAAGCTGGCAGATCTGGCTCCTCAAACCTTTCCAGGCAACCAATTTGGATGAGAGGAGATCCCATTCACCTTGGAGTGGGGAGTAGGAATAATGCTGAGGTTTTACAAACTCTTACTTTGTACACACAGGGCAGATGAGGGGGTTTGTTTCCCACTCGGCCAGCATGACGCTGAGGCACTTCTCATCAAACTGCAGGCTCTTCTCGTACTCCAGGAGGATGGACTGCTCTGCAGGGCAGAAGGTGGGGCTGCCTTGTACTTAGTGCTTCCCCTTCAGACACTTACTTTACCCAGGGAGAAAGTCAGGCAAGACCATACTCAACAGTCTTTGCTGTTTACTGCTCTCTCGGACTACCTTCATTTTACTGGATCCTTCCCATCCTACTTGCCACCTCCTTGAGGTGGAAGTCTAAGGGACAGGGCACTTTCACATACCTCTGGAGGTCATAGGACAGACATATGGAATGTCAGACTCCTGGGGAGCAACTTGGAAAGAGCTGACACAGATCAAAGTGATCAGTTTCCCAATGTCTAGATACTCTTGATCCATGTTGTTCCGATTCTGTGTGTTCACTCATTCTGCAAACATGCAGTACCTAGTACATACTAGGTACTTTAGTCATCAGAGTACAAAGATTAAAAAGAAAGTCTGCCTTTGAAGAGCTTACCACACACTTTAGGGCAAGGGCCAGCAAATTAAAGCCTCACTCATTTGTTTATATAGTAAATGTTAACTTTTCTTTAATTGCAACAAACAGACACCATATAGACTACAAAGTCTAAAATGTTTACCTTCCTGTCCTTCATAGAAAAGTTGGCAATTTCTTCTTCGGACTTATTGTGGAAGAGAATAGATTCTGTTATATAGTCCAGGCTGGCCTAGAACTCACAATCCCTCTGCCTCAGCCTTCTAAGTAGCTAGGATCACAAGTGTGGACACCAACCCTGCCTTCCAAACCCTGAATGTTTCTTCTGTTTGTAACACAGTAAATAATCACTTTAGAATTTTTAGTTATACACCACCACAGGAATCTTTAGTGAGTACTAAGTTCTATGCTTCACCACTAACAAGTTTGGTAGATGAGAAGGGGAAGCAAGATTTTTAAAAGATACTAAATCAGGTGCCAGTGGCTTACTCTGGTAATCTTAGCTATACAGGAGGCTGAGATCTGAGGATCCTGGTTTGAAGCCAGCCTGGGCAGAAAAGCCTATGAGGATCTTGTATTCAATTAACTACTCCTCCCCCCCCAAAAAAAAGCCGGAAGTGGAGCTGTGGCTCAGTTGGTAGAGTGCCAGTCATGAGCATAAAAGCTCAGGAATGGCCAGCACTGGTGGCTCAAGCCTGTAATCCTAGCTACTCAGGAAGCTGAGATCTGAGGATGCGGTTCAAAGCCAGCCAGGGCAGAAGAAAAGCTCAGGGACAATTCCCATGCCCACATCCTGACTTCTAGCCCCAGGACCAGCACACACATACAAAATTAACTAAGTAAGAAATTTACCATCTGAGTGGAGTCAATAGTAATCACAACAGCTACGCGTATAGCAGTTATTGGTCTTTAAATCCCATACATATTTTCACTATTATGATCTTTACTGCAAAGAAAAAGGAGCTGAAGGCACAGGAGATTAAGTGCTTATACAAATTACACTGGAAGCTGAGACGTGACTATCAAGGTATGGCTCTTGCATTGCCATAATAGCTAATTATTATTGCATTCTATGTTATAGATAGTGCTTTTAGATTTCTATATAAATTATTTCAGCCTTACAACAAACTCACTGGGTGTGGTGGTACACTTGTAATCTCAGCACTCAGAAGGCTGAGTCAGGATTCTAAGTTCAAGGCCAACATGGGCTACATGGCAAGACCCTTTCTAAATAAATAAGTAAATAAATATATGCACCAAACAACCAACTTCCCTCTCAAAGTTGTAGGATAAGTCTATCATTTCTATTTTATAGATGATAAAGAGTGTACAAGGTGCTAAATTATGCATTCTGTATGGTGCTGTGGATACCTCAAACAGTGGTTGATCACAAAATCCCAGGGAATCAATAAGCAGTTGAGGAAAGATGATATGTAAGCTGAGCAGAGCAAAAGATCTGACCATCCACCCTCTAAAGTGACAGGAAAGTCCATGAGACTCTTATCTTGAATGGACCACCAGAAAACCATAAGTAGTGCTGTGGCTCAAAGTAGTATAGAACTAGCCTTGAGCAAAAGAGCTCAGGGACAGTGCCCAGACCCTGAGTTCAAGCCCCACAATCAACAACAACAACAAAAAAGAACAAACTCAGATTCCAGTGCAGAGCAATATTAGAGTAACTACATCTACACTGGAAGGACTATTCCCTGGAGTTACCTTCATCAATCAACTCCTGTTGGATTTCCTCCAGCAGCGCTAGGTGCACTGACAACCCCGACTGCAAGAGAAAGTGGAGTTACCTCAAATCTGAAAATAGTGGAAGAACACTTGCCTCAAATATGAAGCCTCAAGTCCAATACCCAGTACTGCCAGAAAACAAAATCAAACAAAGAAAACAGCCCAAAACTTCAAATCAAAACCAAAAACTCTAAATCTACCACTAAGCTGCACAGTGATGCATACTTGGAGGGGTGCTTGAAGAGTTACCTGATAAAACTGGCTGAGTCCTCCCATAGAATTTGCTGACAATTGGGGTAATGTGGTCATGCTAAGAGGTCATCAACAAATGGCCAAATTACCCAGTGTCAAAATAACCACCAAATTTGGGGGGGGGGAGTATAGAGAAACAACTAAATATATGTTCTTTCAAGGATATGTAACTATAGGAAAGAACCCAGTCCTTGTTAAGACTGACTGAGGCAATTAGCAGTCTGTAGGCAGGACCCACAGATGCCACTGATAAATGCATCGTTACATGGTGCCTTGATGGTTTCAAAGTAGTTTCCTAAATGTTTTGCTACATAGATCTCAGAATGATGATAACATTACTTTTTTCCTTTCCTTTTTTTTTTTTTTCAGTCATGGGTCTTGAACTCAGGATCTGGGCACTGCCCGTGAGCTCTTCTGCTCAAGACTAGCCATCTCCCACTCTGAGCCACAGAACCACTTTTTGGTTTTCTGTTGGTTCACTGGGAATAAGTCTTATGGTCTTTACTGCCTGAGCTGGCTTTGAACCACAATCCTCAGATCTCTGCCTTCTTTGTAGGTAGGACTACAGGCATGAGCCACTGGCATCTGGCTGCGCTTTTTTTTTTTTTTTGGCAGTACTGGGATTTGAACTCACTACCTTGTGCTTGCTAGGCAGCACTCTACCATTTTAGCCACACACAGTCCCTCCCACCTTTTAAGAGCAATTCCTAGTTCATGCCTGCAGAGTCAAAATCTCTAAGAGGAGATAAAATAGAAATGTATTTATTTTTATTTATTTATATTTTGGTCAATCGTGAAGCCTGAACTCTGGGCCTGGGCGCTGTTCCTCAGCTCTTCAGCTCAAGGCTAGCACTCTACCACTTGAGCCACAGAGCCACTTCCAGCTTTTACTGCTTATGTGGTGCTGAGGAATTGAACCCAAGGCCTCATGCATACAAGGTAAGCACTCTACCACTGAACCACCTTCCCAGCCCCATTTTTTTAGTTTTGTAAGTCATTATGTTGCAAGGATAATGCAGGTCTACATAATATAAAAAAAAAAATCAAACATTGAAGGAAGAAGAGGCTGGCTGTTAGTATTCTGCTTGGGGGCTGGGAGGTGGGTCACTGGGTTTTTTTGTTTGTTTGGTGCCAAGTCTGGGGCTTGAACTCAGGGCCTGGGTGCTGACCTTTAGCTTTTTTTGCTCAAGACTAGTGCTCTACCATTTGAGCCACAGCTCTACTTCCAGCTTTTTGATGTTTAATTGGAGATACAAGTCTCATAGACTTTCTTCCCAGGCCTGACTTAGAACTGCAATCCTCAGATACCAACCTCCTGACTAGCTAGGATTACAGACATGACCAACCAACCCCTGGCTGGTGGACTGTTTTAAAGGACATAGATAAGTTCTTCACAGTGTAACCCCACCCCTGAAAACACAAATCCCAACTAACCTGAGTCAAGGGCTCTGGACAGTTCTCCTTAGACTGTAAAGAATTCCATTCTTCCTCCATTATCTCTTGCACTAGAAGCTTATCTGGAGTCCTCAGTGGCATATTGCCACCAGCTTGACGGTACTTGTTCAGGAGCCTTTCTCGGCTGTTTCTCATTCTCTCCAGACATCCCTTAGGAGAAAAAAAAGCAGGAAAACTTGGGGTGGCTGGGGGGGGGGATAACTCATACATATGAAAATGGATGCACTGTACATATAAACTATTTTTTTTTGCCAGACCTGGGGTTTGAACTCATGGCACTGTCCCTGAGCTTCTTTTTGCTCAAGGCTAACTTTCTACCACTTGAGCCACAGCACCACTTCTAGCTTTTTCTGTTTATGTGGTACTGAGGAATTGAACCCAGGGCTTCATGCATGCTAGGCAAGCACTCTACCACTAAGCCATATTCCCAGCCACTGCTTTGTTTTTAAATGGCAAAAAATTCAATACATAACCTAAAATTAAGAGAAGGGGTGAGTTAAGAGGGGTGGGTGAGAATGCTGAAAGGGGTGACATTGATCAAGATGCACTGTATTCATAAATTGCTTTGGCGAATGGCAACTCCTTTGCCTAACTACTTAAAAGATAATTTTTAAAATTCAAAAAAAAATCCTACAGTGGAGAGAATCACCCTCGTTTCCCTCAAAATGTCAGCGCCCACGACCGTGCTGCACATAATCTTTCTAATATTGGGTTATTTTCCTGGGCTATATCTATCACTTCAGCGATTCTTTCTTAAGAAAGAGGCAGTATTTTTACTCTCTGTGAACTCTGCTGACTTCTGAAGCCAGAACTAGGGTGAGGTTCGACTTTGCCGGCACTCACTGAGCACTCTCCAGAACACAAACAAGTATGTCTCCGGATAGGTGAGTCCAAAGCGCTAAGGGACCCCAGCAATAGTAGGTGATGCCGTTATCTGTATAGGTGTGAAGGATGCGGTGTCACCATCACACATAGAATTTGAAGAAAGCAGAAAAGCCCGAATCCAACACTAAAACTTTCTGGGATGGCGTTCACCTGGGCTAATGCCACACTCGGGGGGCCGAAGGAGGCAGCGAGGCCGCGGCCATTCCAGCCCCAAAGCACCAGGCTGGGATCCGCTGTCCACCTCACCAGCCCGGCGCTCACAAGGCAGGGCGGAGGCAAAGGCAGGGCCGACGGCCGACGAGACAGTGTAGGGAAGCGACCTAGGCCCAGCTCCACACTCACCAGCCTGAAAGCCTCCTTCCAGGGCGGCGAGCCCACCTGTTTATACAGGGAGCGATGCGGAGAGTCGCCGGGCCCCGACATCTCTTCACCCATCAGCGGCCCCTCCAAGTCCCGCCCTCGGAAAGCGCGCACGGAACTATGGAAGTTGTAGTTTCTGCGTGAGAGTCGCAAAGGATTCTGGGAGGCGCGTTACTAGCCTGCCTCACCCGGGAACCAAAACATTGAAGTGGATCAGGAGTCCACTGGATGATGAATGAAGAGATCTGTGAAGTGAACCCAACTTGCAGCGAGGGATTAAGTGCTGAGGGAAAGTTCTAGACGGCTGGAATCCAGACCTACGTGTCCAGCTAGCTACAGTTCAGTGCTGCTCACCGGTACTTTTAACTAACTGAACTCTTAGTCCCGCCCTCTTTGGCTTCAGAATTCATATTGGGCTGACGATTGGCCTTTCTCAGGCGGTGCCGCCATCTGATAAGCTCCGCTTCGGCCCGCCCCCTGCCCCGCCCACGGAGCCCGACGCGTGCTTCCGGGATGCCTACACCATCATTGGCTGTAGCCCCGAACTGCTAGCCGTGGATTGGCTGCGCTTAGCGGCGGGGCCGAGCGACTGCAAAGCGCTGTGCAGTGGAGCCAACATGGCGTCTGCTGAGGCGTCTGTGTGCGATGGTGAGCTGTGGCAGACCTGGCTTCCCAACCACGCGGTTTTCTCTCGGCTCCGGGAGGGATTAAAAAACCAGGGTCCAGTGGAAGCCGAGAAATCCACTTCGGCGTTGCCGGTATCGCCGCAGCTCCCGCCCCAGCTGCTGACGAGAAACCTGACGTTCGGCCTGGGAGGTGAGCTCTTCCTGTGGGACGCGGAGAGCAGCGCCTTCCTGGTGGTCCGCCTTCGGGGACTCGGTGGCGGCGGTGAGGAGCCTCACCTCTCCCAGTACCAGGTATGGAGCTGAGCTCGCTGCCCGGTTCCCTCTCCATCTCGGCTGTGTATATGTGTGTGTGTGTGTGTGCATGTGTGCATGCGTACAGGTGTGTGTGTGCATGCGTGCAGGTGTGTGTGCGTTTGTGTGTGCATGCGTGCGTGCAGGTGTGTATGTGTGTGTGTGTGCATGCGTGCAGGTCCTGGGCCTGGAACCCAGGGTCTGAGCGCTGTCCCGCAGCTGAGCTGTTTTTGCTTCAGGCTAGCGCTCTACCCCTTGAATCCGAGCTGCACTTCTGGCCTTTATTCGGTGGTTAACTGGAGGTCAAGAGTCTCGCGGACTTTCCTTCCTTTGAACCGCAGTTGTCAGATTTTAGTCACCAGGATTACAGGCGGGAGCCTTGGGTGCCGGACTCGGCTACTTTTCATCTTCGGGTGGGTGTGCAGTGGTAGACAGGAGTTCCTCCGGGCATCCTTTCCGGATGGAGTGGGAAGGGCCCCCTCTTGTTTTTTATTCTGCTCCGATAGATTTATGGACTCAGACACTCCAGACACGGGAACTCACGCTATTCAGGAGCTGATTATTTGATTAGGGAGGATGGAGAGGTTCACGTAATAATCAATAAAATGTTACCTGACTTCAGGGTTCTGAAGAAAAAAACAGCAGGGTAAAGGGACAGCATGTGAGCCGTAGTTGCTATTTTTAGTGGGTGTGGTCAAGATAGACCTGTTTCATGATTTGACACTTGAATAGGTGGACTCAACTTTCTCTTGGGTAACTGTGGTGAGCACTAAGTAGAGTAGATTTGAATGCTGCATGTTGAACCTGTTGATTTTTTTTTACCCTATTGTGGAATATTCAGTCATTCCTAATGTTGGAAGGCTTTATTTATGGGGGTCCTGGGAATTGAACTCAGGGCATCAGGCTAGCGTTTTTTACTCAAAGCCCTGGTACTCTGCTACTTGAGCCACAGCTACTTCTCTCTCTCTCTCTCTCTCTCTCTCTCTCTCTCTCTCTCTCTCTCTCTCTCTTTGCTAGTTAGAGTCTCTCAGGTATGTCTGCCTCCGGACTGGCTTCAAAACCCAGATGGCTCAGATCTCAACCTCCTGAGCAGATAGGGGTACAGGTTTGAGCCACCCAGGCCCAGCAGCTTTTTATTTTTATAAACCAATGGCATGTGAAAGTGGATGTGGTCAGAAAATATTAGGCTTGCTGTGATCAGATATTGCTTTATGGATCATTTATAATAATTTAATGTATGATGTCTGTCTTGTGCCCTGGACCAAATTTTGTTGAGGAGAATTTGATTCCAACAAGATGCAGTGCTTCTGTAGTTTTGAAATTAGGTCCAGATCTACTTACAACAAAACTTCTAAGAATAATTATAAGGTTTTTAGCACACAGTATGTCATTTACATTAAAAACAAAAATTTAAGCCAGGCACTGGTAGCTTATACCTGTAATCGTAGCTACTCAAGCGGCTGAGATCTGAGGATCGAGGTTCAAAGCCAGCCCAGGCAGAAAACTCCATGAGACTCTGATCTCCAGTTAACTACCAGAAAACCGGAAGTGATGCTGTGGCTCAAGTAGTAGAGTGCTAGTCTTGACCTGAAGACCTGAGGGACAGCACCCAGGCCCAGAGTTCAAGCCCCATGACCAACAAGAGAGAGAGAGAGAGAGGGAGGAGCAGGCTCCCTATGTAGCCTAGGCTGGCCTCAAACTGTGAGTTCAAGCGATCATCCTTAACTCCAGCAGGTGGGAGTTATAAGTGAGTGCCATTGTGATGACTTACAGCACACAATGTTCTCTTTATTTATTTTTGGTGGTATTGGGGTTTGAATTCAGGGCTTTGCACTTACTATGCAGGCACTTCACTATAAGCCATGCCCGTAGCCCCCATTATTTCAGTATCATTCCATGTTGTTTTGCAGCGTTTAGCACAATATTGTAATGATTTGAAATTTGTTTTTTCTCTTTTCTAGACTGTAAACATCAAGTCAGGGGCTGTGTTTGTCTTACCCTATTTGTTTTTTGTGCCTGGGAGGGTTGAACTCAGGGCTTGGGTGCTGTCCCTGAGGCTCTTGTTTTACTTGAGCTACAGCTCCACTCCTAGTTTTTTTAGTAGTTTGTTGGAGATAAGAGTCACACAACCTTTCCTTTTTGGGGCTGGCTTCAAACCATGATCTTCAGATCTCAGCCTCCAGAGTAACTAGGATTATAGGCATGAGCTACCAGGGCCCACCTTACCTTATTCTTATTTCTTTTTCTCAAGGCCTTGCTCTTACTGGGCAAGTGCCCTACCACTTGAACTACAGACCTTTTGTTTTTACTGTTTTTGAGATAAGGTCTTGCTGCTGCCTTTGCCCAAGCTCACCTTGAAGCCTCAATTTTCCTGCCTCCCACATTTGAATAACTGGGTTTAGAAGTATGTACCACCGTGTACAGTGGTCTCACTCATTTCTCTATATCCAGTACTTGAGTATGTGCCTAGAATATACAAGGTCTCAGTAAATATTGGCAACCATCTTTGTAACTTTCAGTTATCCAGAATTTCAAAAACTCATGAATTGGAAAGAAAGCAGCAATCGTGAGTTACAACTTTGGATGTTCTAAAAAGGATGAATAATGATTTTAAAACCAATATCAACAAAAGTCCTAAATATTGTGATTATCACAGATAAACTCATGATTGTGTTATGTAGCATAAGCAAGGTGGCCTCTGGTTTGAGTTGAACTGTCAAAATCAAGTAGAAAGAAGATGGCTATTGAGAACAGGGCACAGAAGGAAAACAACCTCTGACAGGAGGAAAAAGCCCAGTTTGATTAAAATTAGCAAAAGCTACCTAAAAGATATAGGCTTATAGTAATCAGTACCAATTAGTAAAAATCACAATTTATTGAGAACTTACCTGAAAGAATTTTGGCTTAGGCTATTCTCTATACTAGTATAAACAATACACTAGAAGTCCTTTTGGAAAGTAATTAAAATGGAAGAAAATGGGGATGGGAAAAGTAGATTTTTTTTTTAAAGATGATACTGAGACAAGCAGCTTTTAAGAAACTTCTTGAAATACCAGTGTTTCACATAAGCCTGCATCTATAAAGCCAACGTGCAGCTTGCTACAAAAGCTCTTGAAGTCATTCTTTGTTATTATAGCATTTATAACTGTTGTTGTTATACTTCTGAGTTAATTTACCTGCTCTCTATGATATTTTTTTATACAGCTTTGCAGACACAAGTAGACAGGACTATGGTGATTTCCTAGAAGTACATATTAATTTGATGAGTGGGAAGTGTGAGAAGGGATGGTCCAAAGTGGAGAACTGGAATGGTAGTGTGGTACTTGAACATAAAAAGGCAGAATTGGGTATAATTGTTTCTGTCAAAGTAGGAACATCTGATGCATTTTATATAACATTTCAATCTAATTGATTAAAAATATTTTATCAGTAGCTCAAGTGTTACTACTTATTTGGAATTCTTTGTTATACTATAAATACAGAAAACTAAACCATGACTCTGGTTTCAGGTAACTATGACATGTGTTTTAAAATTTTGCTTTAATTTCAGAGATTGCTTTGCATAAATCCTCCCCTGTTTGAAATTTATCAAGTCTTATTAAGTCCAACACACCATCATGTAGCACTTATAGGAATAAAAGGACTTATGGTATTAGAATTTCCCAAACGATGGGGGAAGAATTCTGAATTTGAAGGTGGAAAAGCAACAGTGAACTGTAGGTAAGTTGTGTTTTCATTTAGTATTTATTTATTTATTTTTGTTGGCTGTGGGGCTTGAACTCAGGGTCTGGGCCTGTCCCTGAGCTGGCACTCTACCACTTTGAGACACAGCACCATTTCTGGTTTTCTGATAGTTAATTGGAGATAAGAGTCCCCTGGACTTTCCTGCCTGGGCTGGCTTTGAACCACGATCCTCAGATCTCAGCCTCCTGAGTAGCTAGAGTTACAGGCATGAGCCACCAGCACCCAGTTTTAATTTATAATACCTGGAGAAAACTGCTCAAGACCAATTTTTTTTGTGTTGGTAGTGGGGCTTATACTTAGTGCCTGGGCACTGGGCACTGTCCCTGAGCTTTTTCTTTTTCTTTTTTTTTTTTTTGTTGGTCGTGGGGCTTGAACTCTGGGCCTAGGCGCTGTCCCTCAGCTCTTCAGCTCAAGGCTAACGTTCTACCACTTGAGCTACAGCGCTACTTCCGGTTTTCTGGTGGTTTATTGGAGATAGGAGTCTCACAGTCTCTCCTGCCCGGGCTGGCTTTGAACCGCGATCCTCAGATCTCAGCCTCCTGAGTAGCTAGGATTACAGGCTTGAGCCACCAGCGCCCGGCCCTGAGCTTTTTCAATAAAGGACTAGCTACCATTTTGACCTAGAGCTCCACTTTGGAGATAACAGATATTCCTTCCTGGGCTCAGCTCTCAGCCTCGTGAGTAGCTAGGGTTACAGGTGTGAGCTGCTGGCACTTGATTATCTGTTTATTTTTAAAATAGGGCCTTCAATGCTTTTGCCCAGGCCACCTTTGGACCATAATCCTACCTATGCCTCTCAAAGATCTAAGATATAGGTATGCCCCATCACTCCAGCTTGCTCTTTGAGTAAAATGTCTAAACTTCTTCCTCAGGCTGGCCTTGAATCATAGTTGTTATGGTTCTGCCTCCCAAGTGGTTGGCATTTCATGCCAGTGACTACTGTAGTCAGATAATGTTGTTATGTATTTGCAATTATTATTATGCCTAAATTATGCTGTCAGTTTGAAAGAAACAAATTTTTTGGTTTTTGAAGGTTCCGCCCCCCCCCCCCCCCCCCCCCCCCGTGCTATTCAGGGCCCACACCTGCCAGGCACTCTACTACTTGAGACACACTGAGACACACATACACACACACACACACAGTCCTTTTGCTTTTAATTTGTTTTTCAGATAGAGTCTCATTAACTTAGCTATCTGTTAACCTTGGTCCACTAGCCTTTTACCTCTGTCTCCAGAGTACTTAGAATTACAGGCATGTTTCACCATGCCCAGCCAGAAATAAGATGGATTTTTAAAGCAGATAATGTCTAAAGTAAGAAATTTGCTTAAGTTTTGATTGATTAATTAGTTGATTGAGACAGTCTCATTGTATGACTCAGGCTGTTGGAACTTGCTGTGTAGCTAAAGATAGCTTCAAACTTATGATCTTCCTGCTTAACTTTTTCAGTACTGGGATTACAGTGATATGCCACCACTTCCAGATTCAAGCTTTTTCAACAATCCAGAAAAATGAGGATCTGGAAGGTCTACTAAAAGGGATATAATATTGGGTAGAAACCTACTATTAGGGGCTGGGAAGGTGGCTCAGTGCTAGAGCGCTTGCCTTGCATGCCTGAGGCCCTGGGTTCGATTCTTCAGCACCATATAAGCAAAAAGAAAAAAAAACCGGAAGTGGGGCTGTGGCTCAAGTGGTAGAGCACTAGCCTTGAGTTGAAGAGCTGAGGGACAGCGCCCAGGCCCAGAGTTCAGGCCCCACGACCAGACCCCCCTCAAAAAAAAAGAAACCTACTATTAGCTGTACAATATATAAGGAAATCCACTTGAACAAATATTTCCTAATTTTCAAAAATAATCATAATATCTGCCCGTTTCCTTACAAGGTTACTAAAAGGATCAACCAAGACACCTTAAGAAAAACACTTGTGAAAAACTATGTAAAATGTATTACATGGCCAGGTGCTGGTGGTTTACATTTGTGATCCTGTCTATTCAGGACAGAGATCCTCATGAGGATCACAGTTCATTGCCAGTCTGGGCAAGAAAATTCATGAGACTTATCTCCAATTAACCAGCAAAAATCCAGAAGTGGAACTATATATAGCTATGGGGTAGAACATTACCTCAAGCAAAAAACTTAAGGGACAGCATCCAGGTCCTAAATTCAGTACCTAGTATACACACACTCACACACGCGCGCGCGCGATGGTTCTTTGTATGCTCTTATAGTAAGCTTGAAGAGGAAAAAAAACTAAAGGAAAGAAAATCAGAAAGTATTAAATAGATTTGCCTTTAGGTGGTTTTTCATTCAAATGTTGTGCAATATTGTCATCTTTATTTTAGTACTACTCCAGTTGCTGAGAGATTCTTCACCAGTTCCACCTCTCTGACTCTTAAGCATGCTGCCTGGTATCCAAGTGAAATGTTAGATCCTCACATAGTACTTTTAACATCAGATAATGTAATAAGGTAAGTTGTAGTTTATTTCTCTTTGTGTGTTTGAGTGGCCAGGCTGTGCTGCTTAATTATTTCCTAACTACATCCTTACTTCCATGCCTTAACTAGTCTTTCTGCCTCTACCTCTCTGAGACCAACCTATAACTAAGGTTAGACTAGTTTTCCCCTGGGTTAGGAGTATGGCACAGTGGTAAAACACTTGTGTAGCATATGTGAGGCTCAGGGTTTATTCCACACCAAAAAAAAAAAGAATAATCTTTGCTTAACTTTTCATATCTTTTTTTTTTTTGGCAGGGGGGAGCGTTGGAGGGGGACAGGGAATAGGGCTTGAACTCTGGGCCTAGGCACTGTCCCTGAGCTCAAGGTTTGCGTTCTACCACTTGAGCCACAGCACCACTTCCAGCTTTTTCTTTATATGTGGTACTGAGGAATCGAACCCAGGGTTTCACGCATGCTGGGCAAGCATTCTACCTCTAAGCCACATTCCCAGCCTGGAAAATTCTTTTTTTTGTTTTTACTTTCAGTCTGGAAAATTCTTAAATAATACTCTTTACATGAAGAAGAAAGTGCAATTTGGGGACATGCAAGAGAATTTTTTGTGTTTTCTTCCCTTTTGCTTACTAGAATTTACTCTCTACGTGAGCCCCAGATTCCCACTAAAGTGATTGTACTCTCAGAAGCAGAAGAGGAAAGTTTAATACTCAACAAAGGGTAAGTTTTTGTGTGACATTTTAAATGTTTTAAGCTAGTTTGTTGGGGTTATGTCTTCTTTTTTTTTTCCATTCATGGGGCTTGAACTGGGCCTGAGTGCTATCCCTGAGCTTTTTTTTTTTTTTTGTCGGTCCTGGCCTTGAACTCTGGGCCTGGGCGCTGTCCCTGTGCTCTTCAGCTCAAGGCAAGTGCTCTACATCTTGAGCCACAGCGCCACTTCCAGTTTTCTAGTGGTTTATTGGAGATCAGAGTCTCACGGACTTTTCTGCCTGGGCTGGCTTTGAACTGTGATCCTCAGATCTCAGCTTCCTGAGTAGCTAGGATTACAGGCTTGAGCCACGGGATCAAGGCTAGTGCTCTATCACTTTGAGCTACATCTCCACTGCCAGTTTTCTAGTGGTTAATTGGAGATAAGAGGCTCATGTCTTTCCTGCCTGGGCTGGCTTCAAATGGCAATCCTCAGAACTGAGGCCCCTAAGTAATTGGAATTATAAGTGTGAGCCACTGGTGCCTGGCTATAAATAAATGTCTTTTAAAAAGAAAAACTAACATCAGAGCTTGAATTCAGGGCCTGACACTTGTTCAGTGTGTACTGTACCATTATCACTACGTCTCCAGAACTGCTTTTCTCTGGTGTCATTTTATGGACTTTTCTGCCCAGTCAGGCTTTGAACTGCAGTCCTCCAGATCTCAGCCTCCTGAGGAACTAGAAGCATATAGCACCAGTGCCTGGCTTTGGATGCAGTTTAAACAGTGATTGGGAAGTTTTCCAGAGCTGACTTTAGCATGCTTTGGTAATAAGATAAGTAAGCAAAAGAAGAAAGACACAGTGTAAAGAAGGAACAAGAAGCTAAAAATCTGAATAACAGTGTAACTATTAGCTTGGTCTCTTTTCAAGGAAGTTCTAAAATATGAATAGCAGAAATTGATTCCTTATAACTTGGGCAAGTTAGTTACAAAATTGTAACATTTTTAAAAATAGGAAGATGAATGTGTACACCTGGAGGTCTACCAGTTGTATCAATTGCTTAGTACTGTACTCCCAGACCAGCCTCCAGGATTCTTCCACTTGGAGGACACATTCAGCCTGTATGATTCTCTTGCCACCCTCGCTTTTACATTTTATTACTTCCCACAGGACGGAGCTTCAGCTTTGACCATAAAAAGAATCCCCCGGGGCTGGGAAGGTGGCTCAGTGGTAGAGCGCTTGCCTTGCATGCATGAGGCTCTGGGTTCGATTCCCCAGCACCACATAAGCAAAAAGAAAAAAAGCCAGAAGTGGCACTGTGGCTCAAGGGGTAGAGCGCTAGCCTTGAGCTGAAGAGCTGAGGGACAGCACCCAGGTCCAGAATTCAGGCCCCACGACTGGACCCAAAAAAAAGAATCCCCCTTTGAACTTATCACCCCATTTCTCTGACCCTCCTGATCAGTCTTTCTGGTGTTTACCATATATATGCATGCACACACACATGTGTGTAAAGCTTTTTTTCTTTTGTGGTCATGGGACTTGAACCATAGGTTTAGGCGCTGTCCCTTAGCACTTTAGCTCAAGGCAAGAATTCTACCACTTGAGCCACAGCACCACTTCCTGTTTTCCAGATCTCAGCCTTCTAAGTTGCTAGGATTACAGGTGTGAGCCACCAGCACCCAGCATGTGTGAAGCTTTTAAAAGCAGTATTTTGGAAGTTCTATTTCATTTTCATAACTCTACGGTAATCATAACCAGTAGTCTTGCTTAGTTTTTGTTCTACTGACCTTTATTTCTAGGATTTTTTGTGGGGTTTTTTTTTTGGGCTAGTCCTGGGGCTTGAATTTAGGCCTGGGCATTGTCCCTGAGCTGCTTTTGCTCAAGGCTAGCACTCTGCCACTTGAGCCACAGCACCACTTCTGGCTTTTTCTGTTTGTATGGTACTGAGGCTCTGATAGCCCCTAGGTTCTAATTTCAGCTCTACCACTTGCTGTTGAGGCATCCAGGCAAATTTCAGTTGCAATAAGCCAGCCTTATTTCTATAACTCTAGCCCACAAATCTTAAAAATAACATAACTCATTTCTTAGAATTATTTTATATGTGGGCATAAAGAAAGGATTAGCATGGGCTTGGCTTAGTATTCATCACTGAGACTGGCATTATTAAATATATTACAAACCAGGTGCTGGTGGCTCACACCTGTAATCCTAGCTACTCAGGAGGCTGAGATCTAGTATCATGGTTCAAAACCAGCCCAGGCAGGAAAGTCCATGAGACTCATCTCCAATAAAACCACCAGAAAACTGGAAGTGGGCACTGTGGCTCAAGCGGTAGAGTACTTGCCTTGAGCTGAAGAGCCTAGGTCCAGTGTTCAAGACTCATGACTGACAAAAAAAAATTACAATATTTATTTTTATGACTCGAGAATATTTTAATTCTATTAAATTAACTTCTTATCTTGACTTATTAATCCCAAAATGTAACTTTTGAGATTTCTCAGTTTGTACCTCCTGGTAACATGGACCTCCATGTTGTAAAGAAACAAATGTGGGCTGGGCACTGGTGGCTCACGCCTATAATCCTAGCTACTCAGTAGGCTGAGATCTTAGGATCGCAGTTCAAAGCCAACCTGGGAAGAAAAGTTCGTGAGACTCTTATCTCCAATAAACCACTAGAATTCTGGAAGTGGTGCTGTGGCTCAAGTGGTAGAGCGCTCGCCTTGAGCTGAAGAGTGCAGGAACAGTGCCCAAGCTGAGAGTTCAAGCCCTATGACTGACCAAAAAAAAAAAAGTTATAAAGAGGCTGAGATCTGAGGTTCACCGTTCAAAGCCAACCAGAACAAGAAAGTCCATGAGACTCTTATCTTCAATTAACCACCAGAAAACCAGAAGTAACTCTGGCTCAAAGTGGTAGAGTGCTAGCCTTGAGTGAAAAAGCTCAAGCCAGCACCCAAGCCTTGAGTTCAAGCCCCACAACTGGAAAAAAAAAGTGGAATTTGTAATACCTTACAATGTTGTTGACTGTAAACTATGTGAGGTTGTGATTTTATTGTGATAATATTCATTAGCTTTTTCTTAGACAATCTTTTTGGATACCCAAATATACAGAATTTTTTATATTAACATTTTACTAGATTGAATGAACATTATGTCATTTATTACTTGAAACATAACTGAAAATTGAAATGCTTGATATTCTCACTATAATGTTCTATAATCATATGTATTATTTTGCATTATATTTCTGTACTTCTTTAGTGTATGTTTTTTCACTATTTAGACACCTCTATTTGTTGTAGTTAACTTTTTTTTTCCCCCAAACTGTCATGGTTAAAAACCTTTTCTTCTTTTTCACAGTTTGTACTGGTTTTTCACCATAGTGTACAACCATCAGAGTATATTAAAATACAAATGAGAATGTTACTGGTACAAACTGTATTTTTCTAAAAATTCATGAATGCACCAACATAGATGGTTACATAATGAAATAACTCATTTGAGAAAATAAAATTTTTTCTCTAAAAAAATCTAAAGAATTATGCAAACTACTCCATAAATCAAGCTGGGTGCCGGTGGCTCATGCCTATAATTCTAGCTATTCAGGAGGCTGAGATCTGAGGATGGCGGTTCAAAGCCAGCCAGGGCAGGAAAGTCCATGAGATTCTGATCTCCAATAAACCATCAGAAAACCAGAAGTGGCGCTGTGGCCCAAGTGGTAGAGCAAGAGCCTTGAGCTGAAGAGCTGAGGGACAGTACCCATGCCCAGAGTTCAAGCCCCACTACTGATAAAGAAAGAAAGAAAGAAAAGAAAGTTAGTTCAGTGTTACTGGTACAGAGTGCAATTTTCTAAAAATGCATGAATGCACCAACATAGAATGTTACATAATGAAATAACTCATTTAAGGAAAATTTTTTCCTTTAAAAAAATCTAAAGAATTATGCAAAGTATTCCATAAATCACATGAAAATATATCAGAAAATTATAATCTGTATACTAATATGGAAGTAATTTATAAAGTAGCATCATTAATACAATATGCTGATAGAGAATTTGCTCTTCATAATAACCATTCTGTGGATCCCCTCCCTGACAATCAATGGCTATTAAGATGTTTCTGGAATTTAGGCCACCTCCCAGCAGCCTCTGCCCTGTCTGGCCTTCAGTTTGTCTCTTCCAATCCCCCATTATGACAAGACCTGAGAGAATGCCACCCAGCTGCCATGTCCTAAAGTAATGCAAGAAAAGTCCACTTCTCTAGGCCGTGGCTGCCAGGTCTTCGGATCAAAATTATTTCATATTCATCATTTGCGTCAGTCTGTAGAAGAAAGGCAAGGAGCGTTCGTTGCCTGGACTTGCAAGCTCTTGGTGGTGCTGGCTATCGGACAGTAACGGCTCAATCTGCAATGTGGTGGGGCTATCCAGGAGGCAAGGCTCCCCTGCTTCTCCTTGGGCAGGCTCCACATTGTCTTCGATTTCTACCTCTTCCAAACCTTGCTGCTCCTCCATAACTCCCATCTTTAGGTGGCCCAACAGGCCTGAGCTCCAGGGGCATGGGTGGCTGCCAGCATCTTGTACTGGCACTCTGTGCCCTCAACCTGCAAGGTGCAATAGCAGTTCCTGTAGCTCTTTCTTCTTATACCTCTTCTCCTGGGTCAGCGAGCTGACACGCTCGTCTTTCTCCTGATACAGCTCATCCAGAACTTCCATCTGGTCTTTACAGAAAACTATGGACTCTTCAATGGCACTGATGTGTTCTAACAGCTGGCTGCATCAATGTTGGGGGGTCATTCATTTGATTTTGGCAGTCTACCTTGTTGGGCAGGTCATGGGTGAAGCAGGTTTTCAGCTTTTGGGCACCTGTATGTCCTTCCTGTCCACAGACATGCCGTGATTCCAGCTCTTGGGGTAAAAGGCCTGGCGCTCCAGCTTTTTCTGGCACTGGGCAGCCAGGTTGGCCAGGCACCTCCAGAGGGCCTGCTGTTCCTGCAGCTGATGGCTAAGCTTCACTTTCTTTGATTCAGCCACTGATAG